TTCTTTAGAAAGCAATGGAACTTATTCTCCATTGCTTCTTTATCACAGCCACACTATAAAAGCAGGTTCCTCAGGTTTCCTTTTCTCTGAACACAGAAGAAAAATAAAGGTCATACCCACCTTTCTTCAAATCTCTGCAAAACACACTCTAACCACTCCTAGAAATTAAACTCCGGATTGCCCAAGGTTAGCTAATAAATTGTGTGTTCATACTCTAGCAATCTTGACCTCCAGATTTTAATTATTTTTACTGAAGCATTTCTTTTTCCTTTCAATAAATGAAACACTCCAGATTTGTCTGTCTGCAACTCAGAGAGCATCACCATGAACGTACAAATATTATTCACTGCTATCTCATCACAAAGGTATAAAGCTGACTAGCAGAAGACTAAGATGATATTAACACATTCCTTTCTAAAGCTTCAGCACATCAAAGTAACCGAGAATGAATTTATAAAAATAGAAATGAAAGTCCATCAGCAAAGTTACAAAGCAGACAGATTTCACTGTTTTTTAAACTCATTCTAAAGAAATAGTATGTCTGAATGCTTTTCACTACCTGCATAGGACTACAAAGAGTAAAACCAGAAAAAGTAACAGATCAACTCCCAAAAACCTTGTTTATAAAATTGAGATTTTTATTTTATGCTTACTAGTCATTTGATTATCTTTTTTCTTTTAGTACTGCAAACTAAAACGCAAGTTCCCACAGTTGCATAAAAGGACAGGTGTTATCAAATGAAAAACGAGAAAGCATCTGTACTGAAGTTCTTGATGGGCTGCTGCTCAGCACGTAAGAGAGCACAGAATCAGGTACTGCTCGTGCCCCAGATCAGTGTGGGCACACTGGGATCATTCCATTGCACTGCTATGTAAAATCATTACATGGACCATCACAAAGATGATCACCTCTCTCGCCTATTCTGCGCTTTCAAGAAAAACTATTCATTATTCATAATTGTCTTCTCATGGTACTTCCGTTCACCACAGAGCCATTCTCAGGAGCAGCCTTCCCACTTATCTTCACTGGCTGTGACATTTCAGACTTGTCCTACAGCTGAACAGCTGGGCCAGAAAAAGCAGCATTTGCATGTGGCAGTATAAAATAAGCACGTAAAAGGGCTGAACACCATCCCAGTTTTGAAAGGTGGTTTCCAAGTGAATAGGTGTCATTAAAGAGGAGAGCATGCAGAGCTCATATGTCACTCACCCATATGGTCTCCAGCTGATGACCTTTACAAAGAACAAATCAATACTAAGCAGATCCTGCATCTACTATTTCTTACTGTGTATGAAAGGTCAAGCAATTTTCATGTATGTATCAGTTCGAACATTCCTTTTCCAGACACTGAAGTGTTTAAACAAGGAAATAACCAAAGAATGCTTATTTCTCACATATCACTGTTTCAGAACATGTGATAATTTAAAAAGAGAGTTAGACCTCATTTCAGGGACAAACTATGAGATTCACAGAAGGAATGTAAAGCCTTACTTCGCTATCATGAAATGATCTCTAAAAATACGCTATAGATTAAATTATTAACAGGGTTAATAGGACTGCTTCCTCACCAGAATTCAGTACTACCTGCATGTTTTATGCTGAAGTAATTTTGAAAAATATTAACCTTTAAGCTGTTTATATTTATTTTAAGCAGCATGTCTGCTGTACCTTTTTTCATATGTACATGCAGGCCACAAAGATTATTCTCCTCTTACCATCTCCTTTAGATGGCATAGATTGAGAGAGGCTTCTATAAAAAAAGATGATTTGGTTCTATACTTAAACATGATCCCATTTAGTTCAATGCCAAATCCTTTTAGCTTCAGTGAGAAAATTCTGTAACACTCATTTCCATAGTTTAGGAGACTCCTGATGAAGAAACTAAGCTGAAATTTGAGGGCTTTTTACCCCTCTTACATTTCAATTCCCAAAGTAAGCTGAAGTTTAATGTATCTCAGTACCTGAAGTTCAAGTACAAACATCAAAACGCTACTAAATTCAACAACACTGTTTGAATGAAAAAGGTACCCCGTTGGGTATTTTAAATGCACCCTAAATGTAACAGTAGAACATCATTCTGGCTCTGGTTAGAACACAACACTGAACTATTCGATATTGCAAGTATAAGATCTACAAGGACAATGTTTTAAAATATTCAGAAAGCTAGTATTTTAAAATGCTTGCATATGGGAAAAAGGATATCTAATACTCTAATGAATTTCTGAGTTGCATTATCTGCAGCATCGTGAGGACATGTTGCCACTCACATACTGCAGCCATACGGATTGGAGCAATGGCACATCCAAACTTCCGTAAGCAAGGTCATAAAAAGGGTCTATAATCTTTTTATGCCTACATTTAATACTTTTAAGAAAGGTTTATTACAGCTCTTGCTTCCTCTTCTCAACTTCATTCATGATTAATATAAAGATTCGCACAACATTAAAAATCTCTCCACAGTTCGTTTCAGAAGAGAAGCAATGCTTTTGTGAATAGGGTTGCTTTTGATTGTTCTTGTTGTACTTCAGTTGGTAAGCCATTTTGATTATTTTAACCTGGTAAATCATAGAAAACATACATTAGCTCTAATATTTAATTATTTACATTATTTTAACGCAAATCTGTATTCTAACAGTGCTTTCTGCCAGTCAAACAAGTACCAAAGCAAAACCAAATAATAGTTTTATATGGAGGAAAAGTGTACATTGCCAGATTAGGAATGTTTCTGCTAATGCTGTAACCAGCAACATCAACAAATACCAATTAGCAACTAAGTTTTGTATTCATCTTAAAGATTTATTACAAGGATTGGACTAGATGTTCTTTAAAAGGTCCATTACAACTCAAACCATCCTATTATTCCATACCTGATTACTTGCTCGTGGCATCTCATCAGAAAACCAAATTTAAAAATTAGAAAAAATAATCATAAGGTCACAGGAGTTGATCACAAATAGAAGTTACACTTCTGGCTGTTGCCATGCACCAAAAGCAGAACTATAAGGAAGCAAATTGTTTTAAGGTATCTGAAATTACCCACAGAATTATTGTTTCATCAAGGAAATCTAGCCTGTGAGCTCTGATATAGGACAAAACTGCCTGCCTCCCTTTTGTCATACTGCTTATTTTGACTAGCTGCAAGAGCATGGAAGCATAGATATTTAATATTCTTTTATTGGCTTTTAGATAACTGACATATTGACAGGTTCTAGGGCATTTTCTTTCCAAATTTTTACAACTGTGTCTTTTTTTATGATTATGCTTTTAAAACTTTTATTGGGGAATAATTGCAGAATATCTACAGGACTAGCTGGCAAATTACATTTGCAAGACTGGAAATGTTCATTTGGATGCAGAGTGCTCTTCATTCATTTACTTATTTTCAGGAGAAAAAAATGAAAACACTGGTATGCTTATGGCATCTTCCATGCAGCTGTTATAAAAGTCACTTAAAAAAATAGGATCCAAGATAAAATAAGCTGAAGCTGCTGGCTTTCTGTAAGAAATCTATGTTCTTTCTTAAATAAATCTTAAGTATACAGAAAAGGTCTATTTCTTTGTACCTTGTCCATGAATATATACTGTCCATACAGTATTATAGAAGTTATTCCAAAACAGCTACAAAGAACACTTTCTATTGTACCTTGATAAGAAAAATGATTCAATGGCAACACTGGAATATTACAGTAAATTAAAATCACAAGCTGAACACTGCATGTGATCACACAGGCAAGCTCAGCAGACTGTGGGACTGTAGGTACTGCTGTACATGGTCCTAAGCATCTGATGTTGAAGACAGCCCTTCCTCATAGATTCTATTTCACTTAGGCTTGTGTTAACAGATTGTCTCATCCTGCTCGGCATAAGACAGAGTTCGGAGAAAGGAAAGAATACTTTTTCAGAACATTTAGGAAAAAAAAAAAAAAAAGGAGAAAGTTTATACCCAGCACCATCACGCAGCTAAAAAGCTCATGGTTTTGTTGTTTGGTTTTCGTTTTTTCTCTCTTTTTTTTTTTTTTTTTTTTTTTTTTTTTTTTTTTTTACACCCTTATAAAAGCGCACTCAGAAAAGGCAAAAAGATGTAAAGCAGATTTTTTTCATTTTAACTCCAAGCACTACAATGCTATAGCTCCACTACTATTGATCTGAATTCTGTAACGTGTTTTGGAGAAAGGTTTGCTTTCAAGATGATGATAATAAAGGAATCTGTGACATTTCTCACCCTGGGCAAAGGGTGCCATTAAAAGCAGGCCAATCAACTCTGGTCAAAGTATGCATATCTAGCAATGAAGACATTCTATAAAATAGCAAGAGGCACATAAAAAACCCTCAAGATGTTAAACTAAGTACCTACATTGTGTACTTCTTCACTTTGTGCAAACCAATGGTAAAAAAACAGCTCTCAGTGTGCTTTATTCTGAACTCATGCAAGGACAGTTTTTTAGAGATTCAGTTCCTTCTTGCCATGATGCTCAACTGTATTTTATTTGTCTTTTTGAACTAAGTGACAATAAACTTAAAAAGCTATTATCTCAGTAGAAGCATCTGTTGCACAAGTATGTACGCATTTATTACTCTCTCTGTGAAGAACATACTTTTTTTTTTTTATAAACTACTCCAAACCACTACACTTTAAATAAAGTCATCTGAATTTCAGCAACGTCTTTGCACTCATTCCACTTTACTATCTACTTTACCATCTTATTAATATTCACATTTGAAATTCTAAATTCTAGATCTTAATTAAAATTGTAGACTTACATTACAGCATTAATTTAATAACAGGAATTGGAGAATTGGGACAACTGGGAGAAGAAGAAATAGACTGTCTCGGACTGCATTCAACATTTGACTGCCTGAGTGCAAGGTATTCTCTGTAGATGTGACAGACAAACCTCAGAAAATGGCATCACATCAAAATGATCCAAACAGCACAGGCCTAAACAAAATGAAAAATATCAAGTGCATCACACAACGTCTGAAAGAAAGATTATTCTACCTGTATCGGACATGCTCGATTGTGTCGTATGTCAGTTTGCTGCTGATATTCTGACTATGAGGGTTGCCTAGGAGACAATGGAGAAATAGAAGTTAATCATAAATCACAACATAGGTACTAATTTCTTTTTCTTTTAACAAAGTATTACACCAAGCCAGTCTGAAAAAATGACCAAGAAAGATTTAATATTTACTTTGTAGGCAATGCCCTAAAGCTCCTTGGAACAGTTAGTCAAGACATATAACTAAAGAAAACAATTATGACAGACCTTGAAACTTCAGCTGTATCTGTTACTAGTACTTAGGCAGTTCCCTTAACAAAAATACAACTGCATCTGTACAAATAGGCTAGCAAAAGAAAGCTGAGACAGAATGCACATTAATAAATACATTCAGGGACTAAGACATAGTTAACAGACATCATATGGAGGCAGCAGACATTCATTACTGGACACCACTTATGCTCCTATTGCTCATGAAAATAAAAATTTCACTGCAACAGTGGCCACCTTAGTACAGCTCAGAACAGACAGATGTTAACAATTAAAACAGTACCTAAGAAGGGCATAAATTTACCTCCTTGAGCAAAATAAGCTAAACCAACATCCACAGATGAACAACATGCTTTCCTTTCAATAAATCCTTAGGAAAACACATAAGCATTTTTGAAAGAGAACAAGAAAAAAGTTACCAATTAATACACTATTCAGTAATTCACAATAAAATCTACTTATTTTAAAATTTCAAAAATCAGTGAAGGTGTTACAAAGCATGTTGAGTGAAAGCATTTAAAAGAATAATAACGTCTAGGTACTACATCTAAGGTTTGAGCTCTGATTTTTTATTTTTATTTTTTACGTCTGATGTTGCATTTCTGTAATTTCCAATTCAAATATTCTCAATTTAGAAGTGAGAATCTCTTTTACTTACATCCCTTCCTCTCATTTACACATACAGTATCTTAAACGTAGTTCTTTAGGCCTGTAGATTATCACCAAGAAAATAAAAAAGGGCAAGCTGAATTTCCCCTTCATTCACACCTGTGTCCATCAAATAAACTCATACAACAGTTACTGCCCTTAGAGTAGCAGATATAAGTGAGGAAAAAAAAATTTCACCAGGCTAGGGATTACATTATCATTTTAAATTAAAGCAGCATCAAACATGGAATTTGTTCTCACATAGCATTGTAGGTACTGTGAAAATCTGGCAGCACTACTATTTCTATTCATGACCACTCAATTGATTCACAGATTTAATTTTTTCTGCCACAGATGGCACTTCTAATTAGAAGGGCCAAGCCCAAATTTGTTTGAAGTAACTAAGATCAGAGTGCATATGTTTCACTTCACAATGGCTGCAGTGACAGAACATTAATTTTAATATCACTGACATTCACTACCATAAGAGATTTTGTATGTAATCAAATCAGTGCATCCTTTTGTAACTCCAAAAAAACAAAAAGGCTACCCTTATTAAGAATAACATCTAGTTCATAGAAGAACTTGAATTCACATCGGATCCGGGACTTGTCAACATTCAGAAAACAAGAGGGGAAAATGCTACAGACAAGGGCGCATGACATGAAGTTTTGCCAAAACTTCTCTGTGGCTTATCACCCAGGTGATAAGCACATGCTGGTGCTTTAATGAACACAGTTCTCTTTTGAAGAGTGATATCTAGTTCCCAGATGAGGAAACACTTTGCTCAATGGATCAGGGAGCAAAAGGAATACATAAAACCAGAAAAAAGGACATCTAGCCCACAGATATTAACACACAATAAGAAATTTTGATGACTTCAGAGGGACTACTAATAGCATATATAGGTAATACTGCAAAGCATTTTTTTTTTCTCCTGGATGAGTCTCTTCTAACATAAACTGTGTCTCACCATAACAATAACTTCCAAACAAAGGATGTTGTCTTTGTTTAAAAGCACAAGCAGCATGGGGTTCTCAGAGAGATGATAATGTCCTGAAGAGACTGGAGAATTTAAGTGGAAGATCCGTGGAAGAAATAATACTAGGTAGCACTATACTGCTCTAAAGCCTTAATAACTACATCTCCATCCAGATACTGTGCAATTACAAACACATCAAATTCACATTCCTTTTCTAAGTACCAAACTGCAGCGGACCAGAAGAGGCTTAGCACCTATTCTCTGCCTAACTCCACTCTATGTTAAGCTTTCTTTCAAACAAAATGCTTATGACGGACCACAGTCACAACAGTGAAGGGTCTACATAACCTAGTCCCACATAACTGCTCTGTACTTCTCTTGTCATACTATCCACCATCTACTGCCAATTTCTGGCAGTCTGTAGGCTGGCTTCCCTCACTATGTGCAAAAAGAGCAGCAGCTACCTTTCAGTAACAACCACACGTTTAGGTCCTTTTGTCCACATATTAAAAAGGGCAAGATTCACAAGGGTGAAAGCAGCCCTGGACAACGGCAGGAGAGCAGTTCCCATTTGTCTGCATCCCACCACAAAGACATGTCCTCAGCCACTAAAAAGCAAAGCAAGGGAGATCTAAAGAGATGTGACCTCTCCGTAAAATCACTGGTCTTCTAAGTGCTCTATAGCAGTGTGAAAAACCTATCTCCCAACAACTCAGCAGGCCTAGTTTTGAACTACTTAGGTGAAAAGAATAATGAGAAGAATAATGGAAACATTGATTCATACTTACTATAAACATTGTTTCTGAGGTCATCTGTAAAAGCTGTAAGTAGACTTTCAGGGAAAAGCGTGGAACCTGCGTGGTCAAGGTAAGTCATCCCTAAAACAAACAAAAAGATCAAATCAATGTTTTTTCTTAAATACTTAATTCTAATTTCTCATATACAAGTAAGGTACATTATACATGGATCCACACTGAAGTACACAACACAAAAAGCTGTTCCCCCAAAGTTCCTAGTGTATGACAGTTCTCTGACTCAGAAGTCCACCCCGATTTCACCCATTCACCAGCACAGTTTAAAAAAAGTGATACAATAGAAGCCCGGTGTTTTGATTGCATCTTTATAATTTTTAACTAGAAAGCAAAATACTGGAAGAGATCCTTTTCTTCCAAGTTGATATTACACATCGTTTGAAAAGTTCCACCTGTAGAAGACTGCACAAGCTACTGCCTTGAGCCACAGTACCTTGGCACTTCTAGACACTATTATTATTCTTATCTCAATAATTACTACAAGTATCAACAAAAACAGTGAGTTGTTCAGTCTGCCAAAGAGGAGGCGACAACCATGTTAACTGGCATGGCCTGAATCATTCTTGAAGCCCAAAGTTTAAGTTTTAATGCCTTTAAATATTCCTTGCCAGTCTGCTGCACTTAATGTTTGATTCATTTTTAAAATTCCTTTTTATATTTTTCAGTTATTGCAAAACTTTTAAATAAAAGCTTCTTGGAAAGGGAGGCTTTCTCGTGTTTGACCATTTTAGGTTTCTTAATCTTTAGCAATTATTCTTCCATTTCTCCAGTGTGTTGCATGTCCTTTATTAGTTTTTTCATTTCACTTACCTTAAGTATTTCAACCTATTTCAAATTTTAATAATGATGAATACGATTAAGATTAGAATTTAATAAGTATTTTAAAAGCCTTTCCTTTCCACAGGGATTTAAAAGTTAAGCTCAAAGAGTTAAGCTTTAAATGAGAAGTCCTGACACTTGGAAATACATATAATTATAAATTACGTTGCTGTAGCAGTGATTCAGTGGGTGAAGCTGTGAGACCAGTAATGACAAAACCAGTCTGGACACCCATCCCTTCTTTTATTTTATGAGAGAGTCCTCCACTGCCTCAAGAATTCCCCATTTATAGTGCCTGGTTAAAAGCAGATTTTCTTTTTTTTAATGAGTTGAAGTTAATCAAGGAAAAGTGTTTTGAGGTGCTTAGAGTGAAAGAGGATGGAAAAATACTAGACCGATTTATTGTATGTACCACCTTCCTGGGTTTTTACTTTTTTTTAATCATAGCATGGACTAAAAAGCAGTATGAAACAGTACATACAATCACACAGAGGTCAAAATGAAGATTCAGAAGGCATATGGTGAAACCTGGCTGCCCCACAGTTAGTCTGTATGGCAAATGCCAGCAAGCAAGCTTCATTTCAAGAAAGTGCTTGCACAATCATAACAAATCACACCATAGCAGACATACCCTTACATCTACACGTGTTTACTATGAATATGCAATGTATACTATAAAAAAAGAAAAACCAATATAGAAAACTGGCAGAGAAGGTATTTTCATGCTGTAGCTAATGCAAGGGAAATGCATTCATTATAAAAATTGCTCTAGTGCTGTGACATCAAATATCAAATCTGCCCATTTAAAGATGATTCAGTTTCACTCATGAGAAACTGCTTGGCATCTCCCAGCCTCAGAAATGGAGGTGCTTCGGGCTGAGCAGGGCAGCTCCAGGAGACAGTCAGGTCTCCACTGGGGATCCCCAGACACCCAGCCTCTCCTATGCCATAACATGACCAGCTTTACCTAACCAGGTTACATGCAAATCACACTGTCAGAGTCACCACAGAGGCTGGTTATATTAGCAGAACACTGGGATGTGACTCGGAACCCACAGCTTAGTAGCCAGCGCATCTAGCTCTGATATAGAACGGAAGTAACTGCAAGTACATAGAATCACAGAATGGTTTGAGTTGGAAGAGACCTTTAAGATCATCCAGTTTCAACCCCCTGCTATAGGCAGAGACACCTTCCTCTAGACCAGATTGCTCAAAGCCCCATCCAGCCTAGCCTTGAACACCTCCAGGGAGGGGGCAACCTGTTCCAGTGTCTCACCATACTCACAGTAAAGAATTTCTTCCTTTTATCTAGTCTTAATCTACTCTCTTTCAGTTTAAAGCCATTTTTCCTTGTTCTATCACTACTACCTGTTCTCCTAAAAAGCCCCTCCCCAGCTTTCCTGTAGGCCCTTTCAGGTACCAAAAGGCTTTCCTCTGGACCCACTCCAACAGCTTGATATCCTTGCCCCAGAACTGATGGAATACTCCAGGTGGAACCTTGCAAGAGCAGAGAAGAGGGGCAGAATCAATTCCCTTGATCTGCTGGTCAAGATTCTCTCAATGCAACCCAGAATACAGTTGGGCTTCTAGGCTGCAAGCACACACTGCCAGCTCACGTTGAGTCTTGCATTAACAGACACTCAAATCCTTCTCCTCAGGGCTGCTCTTAAGCCATCCTCTGCCCAGCCTGTATTTGTGCTTGGGATTGCCCCAAGCTAGGTGCAGGACTTTTCTCTTGGCCTTATTGAACTTCATGAGGTTGGCATGGGCCCAGCTCTCAAGCCTGTCCAGGTACCTCTGAATGGCACCCCTTCCCTCTAACGTATCACCTGCACCACTCAGCTTGCTGTCATCTTGCTGAGGGTGCACTCAAACCCACAATCCGTGATGCCTACAAAGATGTTATTCAGCACTGGTCCCAGCATTAATCTCTGAGGAACGCCGCTCATTACCAATCTCCATTTGGACACTGAGCAATTGACTGCAACTCTGAGAGCAACCGTTAAGCCAGTTCCTCATTCAGCGAGTTGTCCATCCATTAAATCTACTTCTCCCCACTTTGGTGACGAGGATGTCATGTGGGACAGTGGCAAAAGCTTGCACAAGTTCAGGCACATGATATCAATTGCTCTTCATTTATCTATGAATGCCATAACTCCATCAAAAAAAGGTCAGCAAGTTTGTCAGGCACTATTTGCCCTTGCTGAAGCCATGTTAGCTACCACCCATCACCTCATCTTTGTTTTTTTTTGTGTGTGTGTGCTTTAGTAGGATCTTCAGGAGGATCTGCTGCATGATCTTGTCAGGCACAGAGGTGAGACCAACTGGTCCACAGTTCCCTCTATCTTTTTTTCCTCTTCTTGAAAACTGGGGCTGTGTTTCCTCTTTTCCAGCCAGCAGGAACTTCACCAGACTGCCACAAGCTTTGAAGTATGATGGATAAGAGCTTGGCAACTTCACCTGCCAGTTCCTGAAAACCTGTGGATGGATCTCATCAGGTCCCATGGACTTCAGCATGTTCAGATTCTTTAAATGGTCTCAAACCTGATCTTCACTTACAGCAAACACATCTTCCTTTTCCCAGTTCTTACTTCTGCTTTCTGCAGCTTGGGCAGTGTGACTAGAGCCCTTGCCAGTGAAGCCTGAAGCAAAGAAGTCATTGAGCACCTTAGTTTTCTTCATATCTTTTGTGACCAGGTCTCTAGTTTGCTTTCAGAGATGGCCCACATCTTCCTTAGCCTCCCTTTTAACCCTGACAAACCTGTAGAATTTCTTCTTGTTCCCCTTTATGTCCCTTGCTAGATTCGATTCTAACTACTACTTTTCTGTATCCTTCCAGGTAACTCATTTCTGCCTACACTACCTATAGGCTTCCTATTCGTGTTAAGTCCAGGAATTCCTAAATAATCCATGGAAGAGTCCTGGCATTCTTGCCCACCTTCCTCTCTCTCAAGATGGACTGCTTCTGGACGTGAAGAAGATGGTCCTTGAATACTGACAAGCTTTCTTGGGTCCCTCTTCCCTTCAGGGCATTATCCCATGCCAACCTGCCAAGCAGCTCCATGAAGAGTTCACAGAATGTTCTCTGAAGTCCAGAAAAAACAAAGGCAGCCCACTCCTCCAAGAGAACAGTGCCTTCCAAGCAGACTCATGTGAAACAACACAAGCAAAAGGGACTCGAGATAATAGTTCCCCTATGTGATATTTTCAAATTTGATTCATTACACAATCAATTCAGGCCAACATTGTGACTTTACTAAATAAAGGTAAAGAACACTTCAATTCATTTCTGAAATACCACCTCCAGGTCCATGACTTGGAATTCTTAAACTTTTATGATACCTTTAATGCTGCTGTTTAATTGAAAGCAGAATAGCATTTAATATTCTCTGTACTGCCCAAAAAATGAAAAAAAGGTGCTCATAGAACTTGAGACAGCACTCAAACAAATACCTTCATTGCTATTGCACTTTTATGCTGTAGCTTTTCCCCTTCCTGTCTTATTTCAATAAAACTATTTTTTTTAGAGGAAAGAAAAAAAAGCACTGTGGCACATGCATAACACCAGCAAACAAAAGAACATTAATAATTTTCATTGTTTTTCCCCTAGTTTAATAACACTTGCTATTTTAACTTTATTGAACACACATTAACGAAAGATTTGTCAGTATATACAGAGTAATCTAGTTCCCTGTTTCACCGCAGTATTTTGTATATAGCCTGTCAGCATTGTGAAATTACACTATTTACAGCAAGTAGCACAAAAAGAAAACAATATGATCAACCAAAAGAAAATTAAAATACACCATTTGTTAGGACCTGCCTTCTTTATTTGGGAAAAGCATAAAATTTAGTTCAATTTACATACTATTATGCAAGGAATTGTAACTGACTTCATTGATCAAGTACCAACTATTTGATAAAACTACATTTCAGAGGCAGGTTTTTTTTTAGGATGGTTTTCAGAACTCCTACTATGTGTCAACTTCAGTTACGTAAAGTTATTTATCAACAGTATCCAGTCATATGCTATAATAATCACATGCTAATATTGCAAATTATTTCTACATACAGAACACCCTGGAAACAAATGTGAACAAGTCTTTCCTGCTCAAAATTAGAAAAAAAGAACAAAGAACTCCACTTGCAAAATAAATAGTCCCCTGTTTTTCTTCTGTGTTAAAATTCACATGTAGAACAAATATTCACTATCTCCGCATACCTTGATTCTTTGTAAAACTTCAGGC